CCAGTCGGCGTCCCTTCACTTCACGGCCGTCGATGAGGAGCGCAAACAGAAATTCAAACATAACTCCGATATCCCCGGTATGTATGGCTAGGTTTGGGACGGGAGTCACAACTCAAACATTATGTTAATTTTGTAGCTTTTGTGAGTTATGAAAGTATTTTTACATACTTATGGTGTAATGGATTTTGAATTCAAATGACTATTTTGTAATTCAAAATGCATTTAAATTATGAAAATTATTTGAATTTTATTTTCCAAATAATTTAATGGTTTAGTGAATGAGTCACTCGAAAGTGGTTTTGAGTTGTTTTCCTTATTTTCAATTTCAATGAGTTTTGAAACTTTTCTTATGACTAAACTGATTACTATTTTGTCGTGAACGGACCAGGATCCATTTGCGTGAACCTGCGAACCCCGAACGATTTGATTGGTCTGATTGTGGGTCGAAATGGGGCCACAATTCGCAACATTCAGAAAGTGTCGGAAACTTATATCGAAACCCCGAAAGAGAGTCACAATCAGTGGTTCACAATGACTGGTCTGATGGCTAATGTCGAAAATGCTAAGCATATGATCGCCGAACACGTGAGCCTTAAGACCAACAGACACTTCTATATTGATCTCATGCCAAATGGAGACAATGTATTGACTTCATATCAATGATAATCTTTAGGTTAATTTGTCCCGTGATTACTAGTTTGTAGGATTTAATCGTTTCCTTATTATTAACCTTTTATTTCCAAATAGCAATTGAATTCACATTTTTAAAAAATCCTAAGACATCTTATGCATGTTATCCTTAACTATTATTATTATTATTCTGATTGTTTTTGTGATATTTATGTGATGACTATTTTACGCACACAATGTGTTAATCTTATGTTAAGACTATTTGTTATATTTTGAATAATTACAAATATTTAATTTTCATTTCATTTATTTCGATAATTTTTTTTTTCATTAATTATATTGTCTTTTAAGACTGTTTTGTTGAATGCTATGAAACTAATTGATATTCTTTATACAAATTAAGCATTTGATTGAAATTATCTTGAAGTTTAGGGTTTGATAAGAAATTTGTTGTAAAACTTTGTTAACGAAACACTGAATATTATATTATACTGTATTTGTCATTTAATTTATACTTATTACTTGAATTGTTGCAACTTTTAATCAAAAACTAATGTTTTAAGCAAATTAATCTGATTTTTAAAAAATATTTGTTAAAATTTATGTTAAATCTGTTTTGATTAAAAATAAAGTTTCGTAATTTTCATTTCAAACGCTCAAGTAATGCATTTCACTTCTCTATAACTGAACTTATTTTTCAAAATACTTATCAATTCACATGTTTTGTGGTATTGTATGACATCATTGGATGTGATTTTTCTAATGACTTCAAGTAAATGACACTAAAATCAAAAGCAAAACAAAAAGTGAAACTAATTTTATTACACATTCAATACACGGCTATCACTCATAGGGAATGGATATATAGTGAGAGAAATGCAGGTTTTCATTGACTCTGAAATGACAACAAAAACCTGAAAGACAGCATTCGGGATAACCATTCGTGACAACAAATTGGTGATCGTTTCCATTGAATGTATTTTCTTGAAAGATATGCGAAAAACAAACAAAATTCAAAGTAAAAGTAAAAGTTTTGTCATTAATGGCAGTGTCAGTCGTATTAACATAATTCCACTGCTTTTATAGTGTTTCCAGTTTTGCATCAAAACTTTTGATGCAAAACTGACTTAAGAGACAAATATTTTCGTATAATTTCGTGAATTAATAAAATTATTTATCATTAATTTGTATGAAAATATTTTTAGAAATGAATTTTTGAATTACTTATGAGAGAGAATCGATCGATCAAATTGAGAGAGAGAGA